AAGATATAATCATAAAATTAGAGTAGAAATAAAAAATTTATTTCCTTTAAAATATAAAAAAAATCACTATTATTTTAAGATAAACTCTAAATAAAAAAATGCTTATTATTTTGAGATGTAAAGAGTACATTTTAACTTTACTCCATTTGTTCCAAAATAATTATCGCTCTATAATTTTAAATTCGTTTCAAATTAATTATTTTTTTATTTTTTGAAGTAAACAAATATATATTTTTACTCTAACCTTAATATTATCTATTTACTTTAATTAATCATTCCATCACAAAATGTTTCTCTTCATCTTTGATTTCCTTTTAAAGGTAATATAAGTAAATATAAATTATCATCAAATTCTTAATTTGAAAAAAAAAAGTTATTTTGAGAAAGAGATAATACAAATAAAATTAATATTTTGAACTAAATAAAAAAAGAAATGATATAATTTTATCCTAATAATAACAATGATGAATTTTTTAGTTGTTAATCAAAATTAAAACATTTAAATTTATTCAAAAATTAAAAATAAAAAAATAAAGAAAAAAATCCCACTAAAAAAGTAGAATGGTTTGAATATAAAACTTAATTGAAAATTTTGTGAAGTTTTTGGGGTTAAAGTGTAATTTTTTAAAACTATATGTGCCACATAATTGGTGCCACATAAGCATGCCATGGGATTCCGTTAAAAAAGTTAATGGCAGTTTTTTAGGTAGATGAATTTAAAATAATTTTCAAAGTTTATAGATTATTTTGAAAAAAATTGAACTTTTTAGACTAAAATGAAAAAAGATTAATAGTTAGTAGATGAAAAATTAAATTGAGCCCTCTATGAACCAAACGCCTGTTAAGTTGGTCACCAAAAAACCAAAAAATTGATCCACCACCCCACCATCCACGAGTCACAGGGCAACAACTTGTCCTAAACTATCTGTCCATGAAGGTAGCAATTCTTTTTCTTTTTTTTTTTTTTTAACTTACTTTAGTTTTATATCATAGTTTTATATCATATATCTCAAATTTAATTTTTTTTATCATCATTGAGATTACTATTGATTACTCAAATTTGAAGCAATTTTTTTTTTATTTTAGTTGTACAATGAGAGACAATCATCTCTTATCAGTTATCCCTATTCATCTGCATACTATACGATTCAAACTCATGATTTTTTATTCTAGTGAAAAGAAATGACCACTCAATTATTTAAGTCGTTGACTCAAATTTGAAGCATTAAAATCTTGATTTTAATTAAATTTAAAAGATAATTAATTGGATAATATTATTATCACATTTTTAGTTACTTATATTATATCTTTACATTAGATTTTTTTGAAAAAAATTGATAT